GAGAATTTTTTGCTTTGAGCTATGCAAACAGAAGAAACTCCATGTAGTAACATCTCCAATACAATACATAAGCTGCCTCATGACTGCTGGAAAACTGAACATTTTAATTTGTAGTCCTTTGTGTGGATTAACCAAACAAGATATAAGGTGTTGTTTTAATTAGCTTGAGTGCTGTTGGTAAGCAGATTCTTGCCTTCAACAGAGCCAGGCTAGCTGTTTCCACCTGTTTCCAGTCTTTATGCTAAGCTAACATGCCAGCAGTAGCTTGTCACAGACATGAGAGTGATAATAATCTTCTCATATACTCTCCATCACAAAGTAAATTAGCCTTTTGTCCAACATGTCAAACTATACTTTTGAAGTGACTACCTTGTAAAGAAAAGCACATGAGGGTTCATCTATAAATCTTGTCCTGGACAGCCCCTTACCTGGAGTGTTGAGGAGGCGGGACTTCCTGCAGTGGTAGGACAGATCCTGTTCACAGTACTCTGATTGGCTGATGACGGCCAATAGCTGCTCTTCTTCAGTGGAGTAGTCAAAGTGAACTGAGTGCTGGTTTACCTCTGGAGACGGCCGCACTCTGGTCAGCTCGCTGTTGTTGTGCTGGATCACCATCCATGTGTTCTCCTCTGTGGAGGTAGATAAATAGATTAATAGATAAAACAAACAGGTTGTTATTTCCAAATGACTGATTATTTACTGCTATTTATTCGTTTTGTATTGTATATACTTCTTGTGTGTCATATCTGTTGCATCATAACTTGCCTATGCAACAACAGCAATTGACCTCACCTATTGATATCTTATTTAAAGGGGACCTATCATGAAAATGCACTTTTGTACGTCTTTTATACATGTGTCCCCGGTGTTCCAGGGAACTCACCAAGTGTCAGAAAACCAAACCCTCTCTATTTTCCTCCATACCCAAATCTCTAAAAAAGGGCTGCAACGGATCTGATAAAAACTGATCCAGATTTGAGCATTGTCCTGACGTCAGGACGTGGCGCTACGGCTATTGGGCCAACTCCACCAATCAGGAGGAGACAGCCACGGCCATTGCCGTTCGAAAGCGCTGGAGACGCTGTAGTACATATGCCAGGCCAGTAGATGGTGCTGTTCTCACTGAATCTGCCCTTGCAGAGCAGAGCTAAAAAAAGTGCAAATTGAGCGAAATGAGGCATGGCTAAAATGCATGATCTGTTTGGTATTTTGAAAACAGAAACGTATAAATATGCCTATACTGTATAGGTATGGTCCTACAATATATCATTTAAATATAGCATGATAGGTCCACTTTAACTATATTCTGCTCCTGTATAAGAAGATCAATACTACTCTATCTGTACATGAAATAGGAAGTAATGCTAGTTTAGCACAAAGAGCTAGCCATAGGTTTACAGCGACAGCACACTTAAAGCTCACCAATAAACACACTTTGATCCTTTTGCATTTTAGTTTCTGAACGGATTCAACAAATGAGATTCTTTCTCAATTGGAATCAAACTTATCGTCAAACTCCTGGTAAAAAAAAGTGAAAAAGTATTTTTCTAAATGAGTTGGCGATCTGAGAGAAAAAAGCTTCAGCAATTCTGATGAATAATTTACAATTTAATGTAAAAGTTAAAACACTTGTACCTTTAGTAATCTTCATGTGAATTGAATCGTACACTATCGTTTGTTATGCTGTTATATTAATGACACTGTCTGCTCGATATTTAATTCCTCAGTGTAATTAATAACAGGTCCGTAAATAAGGACGCACTCTGCAAACACACCTTGTTGATTAAAAAATATGAAGCCTCATAAACCTAGATGAAACACTGAGAATAGGAAGAGAAATTTGGATCATCACGATTTATACACGTACATAAATTATATGAAGCAGCGAGACATCATTATTCATATTTTTATGATTAAAACGGATGACATGACACAAAGAAAAAGAGAGGGAAATCAGCGGATGGGAGATAAAGTGGATCAGAGCGTGATGAGAGGAGCATCATCATTTACAATTATGTAAATTTTAATCATGAAACTTTGAGTGATGATGTGAGGAGGGTGTGTGTGTGTGTGTGTGTGTGTGTGTGTGTGTGTGTGTGTGTGTGTGTGTGTGTGCACCTGTCATGTTGCAGTACACCAGCTGCGGTTTGATTGGTCCGCTGCCGTCCACGTCGATATAAAAATGTCCCGACGTGTTGCCGTTGTGTTTGTACGCCTCGCAGGACTGTCCGTTACACAGCTGGAGGGAAAATAATGAGATCACGTCAACATGAATCACATCAACATCAACACATCGTTTGTGAGGGGATGAAGAACTGCACGCTGTGAAGGATTATGGGTAAATCACCGACTCATAATCAGAGTGAAGAAACTCAAGTTACGTTTTATTTCTGAGTCATAAAGTGAGATTAATCCAGTAATGAGTGATGTGGGAGTAAACACAACTTTTATCAGCCCTGCCTCTCCTCTCTCTCTCCTCTCTCTCCAATAGTCTTCCTCCACACAACACACACACACACACCACACACACACACACACACACACACACACACAACACCACACACAACACACACACACACACACACACACACACACACACACACACACACACCACACACACACACACACACACACACACACACACCACACACACCACACACACACCATCCTCTGCAATCAAAGCCCTTGCCGTCAAAGCCATATCTAAGAGTTCCCACACCTGTCTCTCCTCCCCTCCACAGCATTTTATTCATCACATTCCCCAGAGGAGACCAGAGGAGGATTGTGGGTAAGTTTCTTCTTTTGGTTTCGAGGATTTGACTCGAGGGAATTGGCTCAGAACAGATGCATCTCGCCTATCAGCTCACCTCACTGCTGCAGGTGTATTTATTCATTCCCCATGCGGCAGTTTAGTCCACAGTCTCATTACCCCTTCATCATATCTCCCACATACAAACAGGTTTTATTCAACGGTATCCTCCCCCACCAGATTTAAATATACTTCAAGGGGGCGGTCTCTCTTAAAGGCCAGATTATAGTTCATGAAAGTAGTTATGTGGTTTTTAGGACATTATTTATTTTTTATGTTATTATGGCACTCACCAAAGTTATTGCTGTGATCTGGAAACAAGCCAACATCGCTAAATGTTTAGAAGACCGAGAAAGGTTATAAATAAAATGACAAATTGAGGCAAAACTAATTTATTTGAAGGTGAATTTTAAAGTGAGTGCACGTGAAATTGTGTCAAGCGTCCCTTATTGCGCTGGAAAACACAACCCTGCATATCGAAACAGGAACGTTGGTCTGTAAAGTGTGATGGATGTTTACCAATTGACAGTTTGCCTATTCATCTTACAGTTTGCTTAGTTTTCACTTTGAAATATCAAATGCTAATATGGCAGTTTGTATATTTACCTGTCTTCTTGTGTTTCTTGCACTGTCAAAATTCATTTAAGTCATGTTGCCTTATTCTTAATCTCAGAAATCCACTTTGATTGTTTTTACTGCTAACAGAATGTTGCCCATCACTACAAATAAGTTCCAGGTTGTAAATCATTGGATTTATCCAAAACGTGCAAAGGCTGCAATGCACATCAAGGGAACACACTGACTTTTAAACGCACTGTAATGCAAACCTTTAACATTAATGTTAATACTTTATAGTATCTGTCCTTATTAAAGGTGGGGTATTGTAATTCACTTCAAAAAACACTTTTTGTTATATTCCATGGAATGCTCTTAACATCCCGATAGCAATGAATACATTAAATGCTTTGACAATAAATACATACACAAAGTTCATCTGTGGAAGCCGTGGCGCTGTAAAAAGCACGACCAATCAATCTGAGCCGGCCCGGGTCAGATAACTGGATGGCCTACCTGCCTGTCAGCCTTCCATCTGTGCACAAACTTATCTCGTGCCCTCATTGGTCACGTGCGCGTTCGTGGTGTGTTGGAGGAGGGGCTCTGTAAGGAAGGGGCAGATTCTTTTCGGCTGTGTACTTTCTAATTCTAGCGCACTCGAGCTGGTTTCTCCATTCTTACTTACCCTACCTTTAAGTTAAATAAATGGCATCTGAAAACTACTATACTCTTTGTTTGGTGCCCTGCTTGAGTTGAATGTTTTTTCTTTTTTAATGTTTATATTGCATTATGTTCGAGTCACTTGCTATCCGATACATTAAATGATCTTTTTTTGATGTGCCATTATATTCAATTCCATATGAAATTGGATGTTCATCCAATGTTCATCCAATTTCATATATTTCTCTGCCTCTGACTTTCAATGGGCAAACAAATCTTAATTATTCTGTGCGACACACTGCCTCATTCCTATTATTTATTTCATTTGCTCATCACCTTCTCATCATCTGTCTATCTCATCTCCCCCTCTCTCTCTCATCTCCCCCTCTCAATCATCTCCCCCCTCTCTCTCTCTCATCTCCCCCTCTCATCATCTCCCTGTCTATGAGTCGTGTTGTGTCTTTCTAAATGTGATGTGTTGGCGTCGTGCTGCTGTTTGACTCACGGCTGTGGCAGGTGGCTCCGCTGTAGCCGCTGTCAGAGCAGTTACAGTGGAAGACGGTCCAGGACTGACTGCAGCGGCCGCCATGTTCACACCGACTGGGAGAACACCTGAGAGAGAGGGACGCAGAGGAGAGGCACTGTTTGAGTTCCTTTAGACAGGTTGGAGTTATTTGCTTTATACGACATACGATAATTCTCATGGATTCTCTGCCAAATGTACGAAAACAAGTCATTTCATTTAACAAGGGTAAAACCTTTTATATGAAATCATCAAATTCTTTGAACGCATCCACATTCACTCTCTCTCGACAACACTACGCTACTCTTAGATGCAAACACCTTATAAGGATTGAAAGACCACATTCTTGAAACTGGAAATGATAAAGTAATACATAGAAAACCAGTGCCATCAGAAACTGCAATATGTTAGACCTCCGCCTACATTTCTCAAAAGAGGCTTTCGAGGTTGTGGTTTGTGATGAGAGCAAGAAATGCATTGTGCAGCAACAACAACCAGTTACTTGCGATAAAAGTCGATCAGCAATGTTTGGATTTCTTGGAAGGCCTTGAGATGTCTAAATACAAAGTTGTTTTTCAAACTTGAACAGCAGCATCATAAGGAGAAGCCTCTCTGTGTGTGAAGGTTAGCAGAGAGGCTGTAGCAACAATACTCCTGCTTCCACATATATTTAGAAACAACACCAGGGACAATGGCGGCGCCAGGGTATGGCTGGGGTAGGCTACAGCCATACCAAGAAATGGCTTAGCCCCACCTTAGCCCCACCATGAAAAATAATGTTAAAGTAAGCAAAATAAAGTCCGCCAACTCGCGCGGAGTAATTGCAACAGACAGCAGTTAGTAAGATTGATTTCAGTATCCACTTGTCTGGAAATACCGAAGACTAGAAATGGTTTTGAAAACTGTTGTCACGTAGTGATCGTCTTCTCAATAAAACTCTTTGATAATGTCTTCTGGCCAATCGAATCACGATAACGGCGTGGTGTTGTTGCAGAAGTCCCGACGGAGCAATACTTTTGCGGTAAGTACATCTCTATATACATCGATACAACATTACGTGTTGATAGAAATCAACACGTAATGAAATAAGACCCCACAGGTTTGATGATTGATAGGTGTGTGGGCTGTCTTTCATTTTGACACACAGAAACAATGGGGGCTATCCACCCCTTATCCACAATGTAAAGTTATCCACACAGCCTCTTTCCCTCTCTCTGTGAGGAGCAGCAGGTTCAGCTTTCAGAACAAAAGTAACAAAAACATAAAATGCCATTCATTTTTTTTAAATATGTCGTTGTAGAAATAGATTTATTAATTTTCTTCTCAAGAGAGTACCAGAATGTGTATTTTATGTTAGTATTTAAAAAAATCTCCTGGGGGAGAATCCCCCCAGACCCCCCCTGCAGGGGTTGGGTTTTCAGCATGTCAACTCTTTCACCTGTGGGGAAATTGCAGGATTGGCTCCAGGTCGCCCTTTTTATTTACTACAAGACAAATATGCCTTTTTATTTCATACAGTTCAATCATCTAAACCTCACGCGTGGCGTTTCACTGTCAAGGGGGGCGATATAGTGTGTATTTAATTACATTGCAAATACTGACTTGAGCCCCACCACTGTATGGGTTAGCCCTACCATAGATTACCCAACAAAAATACTCTGGAGCCGCCACTGACCAGGGACAATGTCTTCTGCCTCTAATTGTTGGAAGTGTTTAAAGACTTAGGTATGGATGAACTTGATCAGATGATTGATCGCAGCTGCAAAGACGTTACCAACAGAAACACAGTCTAGACTTTTTTTTTGAAAGAGCAGCGCCCAACAGGGAAACAGAAATCTTTAGTGTTTACAGGGTTAGTCACTTCTTTGCTGTGTCCAGGTCAAAACGCATCATTCTGCTTTAGCGACTTTTTGAACTGTCCATGCTGAATCTGATAAAGTTATAGGAGCCAAATGCAAAATGTAAAGTGCAATCTCTCAAGTAGGGATGATCCGATCGATCGGCCACCAATCAATATCGGCCGATACTCACTCTCTGCCGATCGATCGGTGCTCTCTAAAAATGCCGATCGCGAGAGCCGATCGCATGATGTAAAATGATGACGTAAAATACATGACACTTTTCTCTGTGCGCGGCAAAACAAGCTCGCCAACATGGCTTCACCGGTCTGGCAGTATTTTAAGGTGTCCGAAAATGACAATAAATAGCGGTATGCAACGTGTCTGTGAAGCAGAAATCCTGCAGCTCCACCCGCTGTGACGGACCGGTGAGCGGAGCAACACACACTAAGAGTTAGACCTAACACACTTAGCTATTTGATCTACCTCTGGAACTAGCTAAACTAGTTATACATATATTTATTCTTCACTGTCGGGTCACTCATTACTGGATCAGTGAGCTGGATGAGACGATACTGACAGACTGTCAGGAGAGAGAGAGAGGGGGAGAGAGAGAGAGAGAGAGAGAGAGAGGGGGAGAGGAGGGAGAGAGAGAGAGAGGGAGAGAGAGAAGGAGAGAGAGAGAGAGGGGGAGAGAGAGAGAGAGAGGGGGAGAGAGGGGGAGAGAGGAAAGAGAGAGAGAGTGGGAGAGAGGGGGAGAGAGGAAAGAGAGCGCCACTCATTTCTCCCATGTTATTATCCAAAGTTAATGTAAACTTGAATAATGTACTTCATTTGAATGTAATAATTATGTTGGTTGTTGTTTGTGGAAGCGCCAGTGAATGAGCCCATTAACTGAGTTAAACATCACTTTAAATGGAAGATCCCCATAGGCCCCGCCCACTCGATCGGATCTGATTCCGGCGATCGGCCCCAAAATTGGCGATCGGAGCATCCCTACTCTCAAGGTAACCGAAAAAGAGTGTCTACATGGATGACCCATAGCGTTGCCTTACTGAGGTTATAATAAAAGCATTAGTGAAAAACCACTGCAATTCCTTTAACTTTAGGGTTTC